TTTTTGAAAAATATTGCAGGAGCTAATCCCAGCACAATTTTTACTTTCTTTTCCCTCTTTATTTCCACCTGGAATGAATTTGTCATAAACCAGGGAGCAAATCTGGCTGTGAACACTGCAAAACCAGCTTTAATTTCTGTGACCTGTATGCAACAAAAGCAAAATTCAATTCCAAGCATAGGCAGCATAAGACAACTTGAATGTTTAGAGCTACTCATTCTCTTAATATGTCATGATATGGCACATGCCAAGTGAATTAATGTTTCCAAAATAGGCATTATTGGCTGCTCATTCTCTGTTCTTCCAGTGTCTGTCAGATAGAAGCCTAAGGAGGCAGCTCTTTGGTTTAGGAGTGTCTGGGTCTAACCAGGGAACAGAACTTTGTCTTCCTTGGACATCAGGAGGATGAAGGAGAGTCGGTCTGAGCCGGTGCTTTAATTGCCACGGTGGCCAGCACCCATTAGAATTGAGAGGCTCCCACCTAGTGGATTATCTGCCCTGCTGTACTCCGGGCTGCCACGGTCCAAATGTGCTTGGGAACATCTGAGTCATTTTTCCAAAGTTTACTGGCAAATCTTGGTCCAAAACAGTATCATTTCCAGACCTGAGGGTGCCCAATAGCAGAAACAGTACAGAGTTTGGAAAAAACAACTGAAAAGGGAGTTTAAAAACCCTCTTTGATGAGCAAATCGATCCTTTTATGAGCAGAATGTTGCACATGTAAAGGCAGAAGTATTTCTCCAGTTTCTGTGGGTACTGCAGCTGATTTAATTATATTGGTGCTCTGTCCCTAACCATCCCTTCCAAATATTTTTATTCCCTTGAATTGAAGAAGCAGATGCAGAGCTGATAGCATCTCTGGCTCTCTCCCTGGCACAGTGGAGTCTCAAAGGAGGCAACAGACTGAAAAGAAAGAAACAAATGCATGTCCTTTATTCTCTGCTCCTTCTGGCTCTCCTTGGAGCAGCATCTGCCTGGGAATTCAGCTCTGGAAGTGCCTGCATTTCCTAGCCATACAAAGAGCTCTTCGGGTCCGTGCCAGGAATGCAACCCCTCCACTTCTTCAGAGTGTGGTTGGCTGCTCAAGGCTGGCTCGCTGATAAGAGCAGTGACAAGGCTTGGAAGGAGCTTTAATGCCTCCCCTCCTTTCTCCTGGAGCTGTTTGCTGCTGAGCTCTCACCCCAGGCCCCCTCCAAAGATATCCCACAGCTGCAGTGCCATAATTACTGTTTGCCTACCTAGGGAATCCATCACACAGGACAGCTGGATCAGCAGGATGGGCAGAGGTGAGGAGGGTTTCTGGACAGTGTTACTCCTCAGAGCATCAGCTGTCTTATCCATGGAGGCATTTACTCATCCACTCAATGCTGCAAACCAGTCAGAAAAACCAAAAACTAAAACTAAAATCTGAAAACTTAAACCCTGTGGTGGCACAGAACCCACACATTCCTTTAATGGGGAATATCCCTGTGCCTCTGCTGAAATTTGAAGCAGCCACGAAGTCAGGACAAATCTTCACTGGCACAATAACCTTCAGGAGATGGAGTTATAAACAAAACCATGCTTGCAGGTATCCTCCTGCAAAAGTGAGTTATGCCATGGTGAATTTTAATACAGTCTTCAGCAGTAAAGAAATCCAAGTGGAAAATCCTACTCTGCATACTCCTGATAAAAACAAAACAACAGCCAGAGGATGCATTTATAAAAGACTACTTGTTATAATAATTTTCCTTTAATTTCCTTGCTAACGGAGTTAAAAATCCCATCTCTAGCAGTGTCTCTGTCTGGTGTTCACACATGGTTTATGTTGGATTGGATGGCTCAGGGGTTCCTGCAGCAGGACTACAGAGGGAAAACCTGCAGGTCAAACTGGAATGCCACTAACTTCCTTCTTAAATTAGAACTGAAAACTGCAATCTGCAGCTCCTGATCACAATTTATTTTCTGCCCTCCTTGCTCGAGGGTCACCTGAGTGGGCAGAGGGGCAGGAAATTGGGGACTCCACTTCTGCTGCAGGGGCTGCTCCAGGGGCTGAGTCATGACTGCATCTCCATGGATTCAGAGGAAGACAAACCTGGATAATGCATAAAACCTGCAGTTCAGAGCAGCTGCAGGGAAATACTTTCCAAATTTAATCAATTTTCTGAAACAGAAGATTAGGTGATGCTTATCTGTGTTTACAGAACTGTAATTTTGGTCTGTAGTACCTAAAAGGATTTTTTTCAATCTTTGGCTGATTTTACCTGGAACAAAGCTGTTTTCCTTTCCCACTGCTTATATTTCTAAATAGTCCAGGGCACTGAAAAACTAGATTTTTGTTCTAAGGGCATGTTGCAAATTTTCTCATATTTTTCTGAAGTCTCATATTTTGTTGTGGTGGAGTTTTTTTGGTGTTTTTTTGTTTGATTTTGTTTTTGTTTTGTTTTGTGTTTTTGGTTTTTTTTTTCCTTTGGCTGAACATTATCTGCACTGTGGTTTATGTATCAGGAAAAAAATACAGGTGGTGCAAAACACAAAACCAGTGGATCTGATTTCTAGAGGTTTATACTGGCATGGAAAGATCTTTGCTAAGCTTTGGGACAGCACAGCCCTCCTTGTGTTCCCTGGGAATGTGGCCTGGCAGTTAAATGGAGCAGATCACTTCCACTCTTCAGCACATCCCAAGTTGCCAAAATAGTCTGCCTTGGCAAGGTGAGAGAGCCAGAGCAGTCTGAGAAGCAGCAGAGTGCTGCCCTGGTTTCTTCTTCCATTCAAAGAAAATACTTGGAGATTTCTTAATTGCCAGTGATCTTCACTGAGAAGGAAAAAATCTTTTTCTTTTTTTGCCATTGTGTAGAAAAATTTCAATATCATCCCAGAATAACCCCATGTTTAGGGCAGGCACTGGATTGTGGTTTAAGTCTTGTGGCTCTCACCCACATCAAAGCCTTTAACCTTTATTTCTTGCAGCCTAGTTCAGCTCTATACCACAAGATCACTGCATGTGGGTTTTTTTGTCTTTTGTCTGAGAATTTTACTCGCTCCATGTCTGTGTTTCCTGAAGCCCATCTTGCATTAGGTGCAAATTTTTGCCTTGAGAATTCTATTTTAAGCCTTTACTCTCTGCTGCTTTAATCAACAGGAGCAGAACCCAGTTCTGGGACTGAAGTCCTCTGTGTTTCACCACGGGTTTTTAGCTCCACATCTTCACTGGGAGCAATGCCAGGTCTGAACATCCAGGAAGAACTTGCAAGAGAGGGAGCTGAGCAGTCTGAAGTAATATCAAGCAGGCAGCAAGACTCAGCAGAGCAATAAACAGATTAAAAGAATCTTGCATGTCTGAGCCCTTGTACTGAGCACACAGTGTGGGATGCTGTGATCTAGTAGTGTCTAGACAATAATATCCTACATAACTTTCTTTTCTCTCAAACATGAATACAGCCGGAAGTTTCCAAAAAGAAAATACAGGAAGAAAATTTCAGGTTTCCAGCCTCACTAGTCAAAGAATTCCAGGTGACTTTTGCACAGAATCCCCACCATGTTTTTACAATTCATCTGTGTGCATGGTTCCCCCTTTTGCTTGTTCCAGGGTTAAAGTCTCAGAAATAAAATCTTTGTAAGAGGTTGTGCAAGGAAGGTTGTGCATTTGTAATATGATGCATTTATGTGTCAGTGAATTACGTTTTAATGTACAATCAATGGGAATGTTCTTGTTCACCATTATTTAGCATAATTAAACAAAGATGTTGAGTGATTATGAAGTATGCATAATGCACAGAAATACATTTTAAAAACAAATAGGTTTGGAACAACATCTCTTTTGCTTCTAAGCAGTCAAATAAAGACATGTCTTACACAGTTCTGCTTCATGGTTTTGGTATAACAAACTCTTGAGCTGCAAGAATCAAAGTTTGGGGTAATTGTGATAAGCAGATGTCTCCTGTTAAGATGTCCAGGGAGTCATGTTCTCTTGGAATATTTTTCTTCAGTTTCATATAAAGATGCTGTGAAGTTTCTGGCTTTTTGAAGCAGCTCCAGTTGAGACAGAGGTCAGCCTTCAACGTTTCTTTTTGTGAACCTCAGCAAAGCAACACTGCATCAGTTTGTCTGTGTATTTAACTCCCTGGTTTTGCCAGACACATTTTCTGCTGCTGGCTCTCTGGGATCCCATCCAGTGCTTTTTCAGAGTTTAGACTATAATCAAATAGGAGCAGTGTGACACCACAGAAAGTTTCCTTGTAGTTTAGAATACATGTGTCTTTTCTTCCTGCAAACAAGGAAGCTGACAGATGACAAATTCTGGATGGCATTTGAACTAAACTTCCAGTAGACTGGCAGCGTCTTTATGTTTATTTTTGGTGGAATGACCTTTCCACGTGTAAAGGCTTTAGATGCTTTCTGATTAAGTTATACTTCCACATGAGAAACTTTCAGCTCAGAGGAATTAGGTGAAATTTTAAAAAAAAGGATGTTCCCTTGAAACACAAGTTTGTAATGAAATTTGCTTTTTCTTGTTTTTTTTTTTTTCTTTTGGTTGCTGTCAATTTTTACAACCAGATTTTTAGAAGAGTTGATGGGCTTGATGAACTATGAAAAAACATAAATGACTCTTCTAGTTTTGACCTACAGGTAAGATTTCTTCCTCTTAGTAAAAGGTAACTGATATCAAAATAAAAGTGTATTTTGATGCAGGAAACTGATCCTTCTTCATGTTTTCTGATTTTTAGAAGTTTTAGTTATTTGATAATTCCTTTTCTGTTTCCTTATGAATTATTATTTAATTATTTTACTTTACTCAGCTCCCATCCTGTCCTAGGTATGGTTTCCTACCTGTTTTCTGTGAGGGAAGAGCTTTGGCTGTGTCTGTATTGCAAAATTCAAATAGCCCAGACTATAAACCCTGTCTCCTTGTAAATGTCAGCCTCCTAGCTAAGTCAGGTAAAACTAAAGACATTCCATTTAGATGAAGCATTAGGTTTTGGGGTGAGAATAAATATATAAAATAAAGAAAAGAAATCAAAGTCAGGAGTGGAAAGCATGTTTTCAGGACATGGTTTAAATTCAGGCTCCTTTTCTGGTTGCATTCCATAATTCTGTGCTACTTCCCACTTAGCTCACAGGAATCTGCCCAGTCTGACCAAGGGCTGGGTAGCAGCTGTGAGGAGATCTCCAAATTTTGCCCCAGGAATTTCTGTTACATGTCTGAAATCGTCCATATTTGAAGAGTTATTTTAAGTCTCACCACACCTGCTGTTCTTCAGAAGGATAATTTTATCTGTAAAGAAAGAAAAAAAAAAATCAAAGTAATTAGATTTAAAAGAGGCTGGATATCAAGACTAACCCTCTTGCTATTGAAGTAAAGATGATAAAGAGCAAGAAAATGTATTTAAGGCTAGTTTCCTTCTGCCTGCTTCCCATCAGGGCTCTGACCTCACTGTCCCACATCCTGCAGAGTCTCTGCTGGGTGAGAGCAGCTCCTCAGAGATGCTCTCCCAGATCCCCTCCTGCCCCATCCCTTCCTCCTCCCTTCTGGGGAAGCAGCAGAGCCAGAGGCAGCACTGGCTTCTGCCTCCCAAGGCATCCCTGTTCCTAATTCCACAATGCTTGTGCTACCTCCCAGGTGGACCTACAGAATCCTCAGGTAATGATTAAGAACTCCAGCCTTTCTTGTGTCTTGATTTTCTTCATAAATCTGTAAAATGTGGGTTCTGTGTAGGGAAAAAAAAAAATTAGAAGTGCTTTGATTTTAGAGCTGAGGTGAAGACCAGCCAGCAAACCATCTCTGCAAGATTTCACTGCCACAGCAGAGCTGTCAGACTTGGAATTAAGAATAAGGTATGCAGGCTGACAATTCCCAGTAGCTTGGCTGCTCTGACAGAGAGAAATCAAGGGGCAAGTCCAAAACAATTCCTTTGCTGGAGTCATTATTGGCTCATTATCTTCATTATTGGCTCTTTTTCTTTCTTTTTAAGAACTGCTATATTCCCACTAAGTTTTCACTGTAATGTTGTTGTAGCATCTGGGCAACTCTCTGGGCTCAGCCATCCAACCAGACTTTTACCCAGCAAACAGAGCTCCTATCAAGCCATGGACAGCCAGTTTCTCCAGGAGGATGCTGTGGAAAATGGTGTTAAATTCTTTCCTAAAGTCCAGACAGACACATCCACAGCCTTTCCTCATCCAACACGTGGGTCTCCCTCTCACAGGAGGAGAAGCAGATTTTACGTTTTCCTAATCTCGTGTTGCCTGGGTTAACAAATGTGAAAAGAGGTACTGGTTAGTGGGAAAACATAGTTGCACAGTGGAGTTTTTATTCCCCAGAGAATTTCTCCTGAGATCAGTGCTATCAAGCACTCTGAATACTGCAAATCCTAAACCCAGCAGAAAAACTTCACCCTCAGCACATACTTGGAGAAGACTCAGTCAGTGTATAATTGCTTTATCTTTATAAAGCAATTTATATATTTATACACACTTTTTGCAGGGATTTTGAATATCTCTGAAACGGAAACAAACCTTAATTTATTTTTTTTTTCTTATTGCTGCATTAGACAAAAACACGTTGGCAGGGACTTGGCAGTTCAGGCAGTGGGCACATCCTCCACAACTCCATTCTGTCTCACACCAGTCCTGCTGCATCATTCCTGGAGCTGCAGGCACTGGAAAATGTCACAACACTCTGAGAATTCCTGGCATTTACTGCCTGTAGACCAAAATGTGAAACAAAAAAGTCTTTGATGGCTGCTGGACACAGATTTCTTACCTGCAGATCTCTGGCTATTCAAAATCCATGCTTAGAGTACTCCAATAATTCCTTACATATCCAAACTGCTTTGGTTTTAATACATTTTTAAGAGTTGCTTAAGCCACCTCTCTCTGCATCCGTGTGCTAGAAAAGCTTCTACCACAAATGTGTGCCTGGCAACAGTCTTGCATGTTTGAATTAAAGAGATGAAAATACTACTGTGAGAGCAGCAGACACAAAAATACCAACTTTGATAACTATATAAGCAGCTTTCTCTGTGGTATTACTATTTTGGAATGGGGTGGGGGGGGATTTAAGAGTACTTGAATATTCACTATGTGTACAAATGGATTTTTTTCCAGAATGAGAGTGCTGTGATTATTCTGCAGGAGCTGCATGTGAAGGTGCTCATCCTCTGCCTCTCCAGAGCTTGGGGGACAGTGAGTTTTATTTTTGAGATCACAACTGCTCTATATGAAAAGCAGTGCGCTCAGGATAATAATCTTTAAAACATGCCTTGCTATTCTAAATTTAAAGATATTTCAGATAAAAGTAGGGACAAGAAGGTAAAATGTAAAAAAATGCTTCAGCAAAATTGTCTTCCATGCAAAAAGCCTACAGATAATTACAGGAAAGTAACCCTTTGTGTTTGTGGTTACTACAGAACTACTAGGAAATTAATGGGCATGCTGTTTATTAGTTTAACACATGAAACAGTCACACGTGTGCAATAAACCATTTGGGGCAGCTGCAGAGATGCTAGTTCAGACATCTTAGTACAAATTTATTTGTTTCTCATTAGTAACTAAGTGGGTCAAATCAGGTCCTTGATGGATGTGTTCCTGGGAAGGACCCATGGCCAGTGTGGTACCCAAAGTTGCTAGCACTAAAAGAACATCTTACAACTTAGTGGGAATATAGTAGTTCTTAAAAAGAAAGAAAAAGAGCCAATAATGAAGAAAGGAGGTTTGAAAATAAAACTGAATAAACCACTGTGTGACTCTGCTTTTCTCTCTCCTCCTATTCTAAAACAGCACTAAAACAACCTGATCCATTTCCCACTGACAATTCCTATCTTGGTTCCCTAAGCATCACACATCTCTTTTTCTCCCCACTGAGCTGAGGCGGTGCTCATGCACAGCCAGCCTGTGGCGGCACACCCACACACACACGTATGTGCCACGTTAAATCGGAATTATCTGCACTCGCGGCATCACAGCGCTTTGGGCTGGCAGGGACCTTAAGAAACCACCTGGTCCCACTCCCGTCCCGCTCCGTGGGGCCGGGGCTGGAGCCGGGATCAGGGACGGGACCGGGATCGGGACCGGCACCGGGATGGGGATGAAGCGAATCTTCCCGGGCTGCCGGCGGCCAATCGCGGCGGCCCGGGCGCGCCCCCGCGGCCCCCTCTGCCGCTGGGCATGCCGGGAATTGTAGTTCTCTCCCTGCGCTGCCGCCGTTCTGTGCGCAGCCAAGCGAACTACAACTCCCAGCAGACCGCGAGGCCCCGCCGCGCGGTGCCCGGCCGTGCCTACCATCCCCATCGCGCCCCGCGGGGCCTGGAAGGAGAAGCGGGTCCGGGAGCGCGCGGGGCGGCGCCTGCGCAGAGCGCGGCTTCCTGAGCGTCTGGTGGCGGCCGCCATTTTGTGGTGCCGCTTCCCTCTCCCGCTCGGGATCTGCGGCCGCGGGACCTGGAGCGGGGGCGACGCGGAGCGGGGGGAGCCGGGGCCGCCCGCACCCTCCTCACCTTCCCTTCGCCTCCGTGCGCCGCCCAGCCCCTCCGGCGCTGCCCCCGGGCGCGGCTGCGGAGAGCGGCGCTCGCCCACCATCATGGAAGACGACGGGCAGCCCCGGACGCTGTGAGTGGGGAGGGGGCGGCGGGGCGGGGATGCGCTCCCGGGGCGCGGGGCCGGGGGAGCGGCGGGGCCGGGCGGGACGGAGCGGCCGGGAGCGGGGCCCGGGCAGGGGGCGGCGCGGCGGCCCGCGCGGATCCGGCGCTGCGCCCGTGCACGGAGAGCACGGGCGAGCCGCGCTGGGCCCGCCGTCTAGCGGGGCCCATCCCCGGAGCCTCCGGGCCCGGCCCCGCCGGTGTGGAGGTGCGGGCGGGGGTCCCGAGCCTTCCCCGGGGGGCTGCGGCCGCCCCCCGGCCCCCCCTGCCCGGCGGTCCCGGCGCTGGGAAAGTTCTTTGTGCTCCGCCGGCGCTGGGTGGGATGGGGAGCGCCGGGAAAGCGGCGGGGATCGCTTTTCCCTCCAGCGTGTCACTGTGCTTCACTAACAGCGTGTCGGGCCCAGCAGAACGAAATAACTGTGTGCTGCCCGTGTCTCCCCGCGCTGTTTGCTCACTTGGTGGCTGTCATCCGTTTTCTGCTTGAAAATACAAATCTGAGCGTTTTGGGGTTGCTGTTGAGTTCTTTTCATCTTTGCAGATGTGGTTTTGATGAATTTTCTTTGTCCCGTTGGTTTAAACGAGGGAGGCTCGCACTTGTGGTTGGGGCACTTGAGAGCAGGGTTTTTGTGCTGCTGCTGATTTTAACCAGCTCCCAGATTTGCAGAGCAGCTGCCAGAGGGTGTTTCGGGCTCTGTGAGCGGTGCAGCGTTCGGGCTGTCCCTGCGAGAAAGGCAGGCTCATGCTAGGGCTGCCCAGATGACAAACACAGCTCAGGACAGTGCAAATGAAATCTTTGTCTATTTAGCTTTCAGGACAGTAGCCTTCAGAAAAACTCTCCAAGATAGCCTGGACTGAAAGCCACTGTTAAGAAACTACTGAAACAGAGTAAAATGTCTCATCATACTGTTCTCGCTACCAAAATGATGACTTGGCATTTAAGGCTTTGCAAGGCAATTTGTTTTTTCTCCTTTCTAGGTTTGCAAAAGTTCTTTAAAGTAGTTTATAATGCAGTATAAGTACTTAGTCCTTGCTCCCTGAGGTGCATAGTTTAAGTAAGCAGATCTGAAATGCTTTTTGTGTTGATTACCCAAATGATCTGAGTTTGCTTGGCCCTCAGAGTGGACCTAGCTTTTAGTGTTGTTTTAGAATAGGAGGAGAGAGAAAAGCAGAGTCACACAGTGGTTTATTCAGTTTTATTTTCAAACCTCCTTTCTTCATTATTGGCTTTTTTTCTTTCTTTTTAAGAACTGCTATATTCCCACTAAGTTGTAAGATGTTCTTTTAGTGCTAGCAGCTTTGGGTACCACATTGGCCATGGTTCCTTCCCAGGAACACATCCATCAAGGACCTGATTTAACCCACTTAGTTACTAATGAGAAACAAATAAATTCGTACGAAGATGTCTGAACTAGCATCTCTGCAGCTGCCCCAAATGGTTTATTGCACACGTGTGACTGTTTCATGTGTTAAACTAATAAACAGCATGCCCATTAATTTCCTAGTAGTTCTGTAGTAACCACAAACACAAAGGGTTACTTTCCTGTAATTATCTGTAGGCTTTTTGCATGGAAGACAAAAATTTTGCTGAAGCATTTTCTTACATTTTACCTTCCTGTCCCTACTTTTATCTGAAATATCTTTAAATTTAGAATAGCAAGGCATGTTTTAAAGATTATTATCCTGAGCGCACTGCTTTTCATATAGAGCGGTTGTGATCTCATGAATAAAGAGGACAACAAGAACAACAAATAAAAATATTGTTAATTGAACTTGTAAGTTTTCATTGTTTGGTTTATTTGGGGAGGGGGAAGGGGGAGAAAGTGAAGAACAAATTGTTTCAGTAGCTATTTCACCATGTACAAAAGCACTTGATTGATGGTGTAAGCAGAACTTTATTAATATCTCAGTTTTTATCTCCTGAAGGAATAAATGAAATCCAAAATCTGTAAATTGGGAAGGATTTTTCTTAATAGTTGCAGGCTTTTTTTTTTTTTTTTAACTTATAAAAAGCAAAACCTTCACTCAACATTTATGCCCATCTTATCCAGCTCAGCAATAAGGATTGTTTCAATTTGCACTGCTTATAGGGCTGTTATGTTTGTTCCAGTCATGATAGGACAGTCATAAACCTCTTAAGAATTCAGAATATTTTCTGAGGTTTAATATAGAACACTGACACTGTTTGCATTTTTCTTTCTTATATTTCTTGACTTTTTAGAAATGTGGAGAATAACCTTAGATACTTTCTGCCAAAAAACTTTCCAGAGATGGGGGCCTTTCTGCATGATTTGTTCTAAAATGAGCTGTGAGCTTCTGATTTATTTGTTGGTTTTTTGTTTTGGTAGAACACTTGAAAGCTCTGTTCTCTGTGAGTACTGTTAGATTTCACAGGCTGTATCAAAGTCCTGCTTCTACTTTAAAGTGAAAACTAAACTATCAGAAACCTGATGTGCTGCTAATGTTATCAGCTCTCGCAGGCATCGAGAAAAATTGCAAAGTTGTATATTGTTAAAGTTTTTAGAAATGTTTTGTGTGGTTTGTAGGTGTTCAGTGACTGCTCTGAAGTCAGTGCATGCCTATAGCTGTTATCTCATCAGCCTTGCCATGATGTGTTCCAAGTCTGGAATGTGGATAAGGTGCAGGAGTAAAGCTTCACCCAGATTCACTTCTCTTGAACTTCCTTTCAGTCCAGCTCTTGTTTAGGAATGTTGTCTCCTGGAGGAGGCTACAGTGTGGATTATTCTTGGTATCATTTTATTTCCAGTAGCTCACAAGCACTAGGCAGAGTTGCTAGAATTTCCATGGGTTCTTGAGCACATCAGTTACCTTATTGCTTATCATAATTTCCTCTTTTAAATACGGAAACTGCCATTTTTTTGCATGTTACCTGTGTGACAGAGAAATCAGATTTACTATCTTTCCTCCAAAAAAAGAGTGTAAAGGAGTTTTGTGTACCTAAAAGTAGTGGCTGTAAATACCCCTTTCTTACCTCCCTGTCTAGGATGCAATACAAATCTGTTTACCTTCAACAAGAGAGTTTTGCTGCTCAAGCCAGAGTTGAGTTCCAAAACTCATTGTGGACTGATGTATGCCTCTTGTGTTCCTTAGATAGTTCTACAAGTCTCTGAATTTCAAGTAGTTTGTCATTCTTTGTGTTGTCAGCAGCACTCAGAAGTGTAATAGATCAAAATGTATGTCAGGACATCTGTCTGTCTATAGGTTGTTGGGATTTTTTTGTTGCTGCTTATTAATTAGTGTTTAAGTGCTTTAGGCTTGCAGAAGGGAGCAAACACTATTGCCTATGTGCAAAAAGCCACAACTTTTGCTGCCCTGTCACATCATCCAAGACCACCTATAAGAGTTTAGTAAGTGCTTCTGCCTTGCTGGGTTTTATAATTTTTAAAAAGTTTGCATCATATATCCTTTAGAATGTATTACTCCAAAAAGATTGAAATACAGTGCAATAGCATGTTAGGAGTCTTTTGGTTTCTTGAGGTGTGGTTGTGATAATTTTGATTTCATGAAGTAGAATAGAAGCTGCTGTTGTGTTACATCACGTGGAAATGGGGCTAGAAAGGGGAAAGCTGACCATAGGCTGGCCATGTGTAGTGATTAGCATCAGCTGAGCCAAATTTTGTGTTTCCAGAAAGGTAAGGTGTCTGCTACTAATGTGGTGAATATATTGATTTCTTTAGTTCTGAAGTATTCAGACATTGACACTGGAGATGTTTGCTTGTATGGGTTTTTTTTTAAGTCCTCTTTAAATGTACTGATGGAGGTGATGTTACTGCAGTCTGCTTAAAAACATGAAAGTAACCATCAAGTCTTACTTTTTAGCATAGCAAAGCTAAGGTTTATGATGCAACATTCTATCTTGCTGAAGACATGGTGGTGTCAAAAAAACCACTTAGTATATCTTAAATATTCTAGCAGTTAGTGTAAATTTTCTTACCGTAGTTGAATAGATTGCTGAGGAATGGCTTTCCCTGGCCTTTTTTCCAAATACATGTTGATACTATGCAGAAGAGGATGATACTTGTTTTTTGCTAGTGTTAATTGTATTTCTTATTGTATCTGATTTGCAGTAGAAATAATGTGTTAATTTCATATCAGTGTTACTGTATCAGCGTGCATACAGAGGAAACCAGTACTGGCAATAAACTGACCCTTTATGTTGGAATTCCTACTGGGATATACATTTCCCATCTGATTTTAGTAGTATCTTCAAAGGTTAATATTTCCACTGAAAGCTATTAGTGATTTACAATTTATTCTTGGTGAATGATTAACAAAAATTTAGTTAATATTTCAGAAAGAAGGTATGGATAAATGTTTAACTACTAAGTTTTCAGGATAGAACTGAAAATTCAGTGAGATGGAGAGTTTGTCCTGTAAGGGGTCTTAGAGTTCTGCAGTTTTTAACTTCTCTGCTGAAAAGCTTTATAAGAATACAGACTTCTGTTAATGACTTGTGTTAATTCATACATATTTAATAAGAAACGGATGAGTACCTGAAGGATTTTATTGGATGTTTTATATTCAGTTGGTACTTCAGAAAGTCACTCTGGATCTTGTAACATTGAAGTCCTGCTGAGAAAGTGCAGAATTGCCTCATAGTTGCTGAAAGAACAACATAAACAAACATCTGTTGATAACATTGTGTGGTGTTCTGATGAAAACAAACAGTGTCCATTTTAATTTTGCTGATCCAGATGAAAGTCCAGCTGTCAAACACAATTTGCTTTCAAAAAATTTTTAAGGGTTGCCTCTCAGAGCAATTTCAGAGCACACCTTTAGTTAATTCAACTTTGTCTGTGAGCAATAAGAAAGGCTTTTTCACATTTATGATCACTGTATAAACAGGTTAGGCTGACTTTAGTTTGCAGTTTTATGATGTTCTGTAACTGACCAGAGGAAAATGAGTAAAATGTCTATTGTTTCAACTTCTAAATCACAGAAGGTTC